GACTCCTTCTTCAGTTTGACGGCATCCCTCACACCCAGTGGAGGGGGGACCCACATGCCTTCTTCGGGCTGTGCCCGACCAGGCCCCATTGGTGCAGGCCTGGCCACCAGGCGCTCGCCATCAAGCCCCATGCCCAGGCCTGGCTCCAGGGGAGGGGCCCGGTGACCCACGACCAGGCGAGGGAAAATGTGAATCTATGTTCTTTTTTATTATATGGGGTCTAATCAGCCGCACTTCGTCTGGTTACTCACCCAGGACCTGTTTGTTTTGGGTGACCCAAGCAGGGGCATAAAGCCCTGGGCAACTTAGTTTCTGGGATCATTGGAACACGCAAACCTCTCTGCCACAATAAGGTGTTGGCTCCAGGGGAGGACTAGGCCACTCCAAAACCTTAATTTAGTTTTTTTTCTTTTCAGTTATTCAGAGCTGGACTTGCTCTTTTGGTTCAGATCATTGTCCAGCTGCATAAGCGAATCATGCTTGAGATCACAGATTGATGACAGACATTCTCCTTCAGTACTTTCTGGCAGACAGCAGAATTCATGCGTCCCTCAATTACAGCAAGTCGCCCGGGCCGGGCAGCAGCAAAGCATCCCCACAGCATCACTCTGCCTCCACCATGTCTGACAGTGGCCATGATGTTCTTTGTGTGGAAGCTGTTAGCTTTACGCCATATGTAGCAGGACCCATGCCTTCCAGATAGTGACACTTTTGCCTCACCAGGCCACAGAACATCCACCCAAAAGTGTTGGGGGTAATCAAGCTGCTTTTTGGTAAATCTTAACCAAGCCTTCATGTTCTTCTCATTTAGCTGTGGTTTCTGCCTTGCATCTCTCCCATGAACACCATTATTGCCCAGTGTCTTTCTAATCAAGGAATCAGGCATTAACTGATCCGAAAGAGGCCTGTAGTTCCTTTGATCTTCATCCACGGTCTGCTGCAGCTTTCCTGATGAGGTTTCTTTGTGCTCTTGGAGCAATTCTGCTAGGCTGGCCACTCCTGGGCAGATTTGGCATTTTTTCAAGTTTTTTCATCTGAAGATGATGGCTGGTACAGTGATTTGCTTGAGTCCAATGTTTTTAGGGAAAGTTTTCTATCACTGGTGTGTTTCAGTGATTTTCTTTCGCAGGATTTCAAGAAGTTCTTCTGATTGAGCCATGGTGTGATGCTACTTGAGATCCTTTATCCAGCTCCACATTACTACTATGGTTTTAGGTGTGTAGGTTCATCAGGGCTGGCAGCATTCAAGCTTGGGTGTGTCTAGTTTAATTTAAACCATTATCATTTAGATTTGGTTGATTAGTTGATTAAGTGACCAAATACTTTGTCATGGCACT